AGTCATTTTCTATTATCTTTTGATAATTATATTTTTGATAACCATTAATTGATTAAACTATTACAGTTAGACCACTCTAACACCCTACGTCGTAGAGCCCGACAGTTCTGACAGAAGTGCGTAGCTTGAAGCCTGGCAAGATGGATTTTTAGGTGATCTTGTGAGTGCAGCTGTATAGTAAGATTAAGAGTTTGAGATTCAGACATTGAGTATCAGACAACCCCTGATTGGATCAACCTCAGGTATGGGAATGGGAAAGCTTGACAAACCTCCAAACTCCACTAATGGGAATGCATAATAAATGTGTAGTTGAGGTTTTTTGGGAGGAGCTAAAAAATTAAAAAGGGGGCTGTAAGATGATGATGCAGTAGCATTATGATTAGAATTATGATGACTTACTTGTGTTCACAGTTCCTGCTAAAGAGTTATTTTTAAGTCAAAATATTTCTTACATTTTTTTTATATATATACATACATACATATACATACATATTTTAACATTTACAGCTAATACTAACAGTACATGTTTTCAATTTTCAAAATTAAATCAATATATGGAAAAGCCAAATCAAAAGCACATAAGATTGAAGAACATTGTTTTAGAGTTGGGGGTTGGAGAAAAAAACACTGGACTATACAGAAAGACACCTTAAACGAATAAAACCAGCAGAAAAGCCAAGGTAAGTGGACAATAAAAGTCTATTTTATTTTTTTAACCCTGGGAACAGATGAGTAATGTTGTCAGAGCATCTGTTCAGAACAGGATAATACCATTCTGGTCCCATGTGCAAACACAAGGTCCAATCTTTCAGAGAAATAGGGTTTATGTTTGTTAGGTGACAGCACATTGGGTGGGTGACCTCTCCATCTACACCAGGTCCAGTAATGTACACAAAGGAGTAGATGTTTCCCTTCAGCCCTCAGATCACTCCCTTTAATGATGTATTGTGTGACAGACTGCACTGTGGAAAGACAATTTGTTCCTACTGTTACACCTGTGCTTTTAACTGCACTGTATGTGAGATTTCTTATTTCAAATTACTTTCTGTATCTTGTATTTTATCTTTGTATCTGTTTTACTCTCTGTGGTGACAGACTTTTTAATTTGTTTTTTGACAAATGAAAAAATAGATCAAACTCAAAGTGATGCAAGTTAAGGCAATTTCAGTGCCTACACATTAACTTTACAATTAGTTAAAAACAAAAGCACAAGACAAAATCTGACAGACACTATTTCAAAGCTCTTCACCTAAAACATTTTAAATTCTTACAAAGAGACTTAAAAGAAAATATATTATAGATTGCAGATCCAGTAACATTTAGGAGGATATACTGGCAGAAATGGAATATAATATTCACAGGTATATTTTCATTAGTGTATAATCACATGAAAATAAGAATTGTTGTGTTTCGTTACCTTAGAATGAGCTTTTTTTATCTACAGACACCATGGGTCACCTTATGTGGAGGCTGCCATGTTGAACCGCCATGTTTCTACAGTAGTCCAGCACAGACAAACCAAACACTGGTTCTAGATTGGGCCGTCACTTTCGCAGCCACTGTACTATCTACTTTGCACTTGGAAGGGGAGGGTGAAGCGAGGGAGTTGTAACCTGCAACTACACTGCTAGATGCCACTAAATCCCAACACTAGACCTTTAAGAAAAAAGCTGGAATGGTAAAAAATACAAATGCATGTGCAGTATTTTGCATGATTTTATATTTTTATATTTTATTTTTTGTATTTTTTTTTTATTTTAGCACACCTTGTATAAAAGTAGTTTAGCATTATGTGTTCAGAAAGTTTAGGAAGTGTTCTAAATAGTTTTAAAATTACAATTAATGAATTATATCAAATAATAATATATGCAAATCAGAGACAAAAGGAGTTTGATAACAATGTCAAAGCCAGTGAAAAATATCCTTTCCCTCCATCCACTGTATAAATACTTGATTAGATGTCAAGGTGGGCATGTTTGTTCACTTTCCATCTAGATTGATAGAAAATGTGGGCCCATCTGAGGCTCAGAAAGTGCCTTGGGGACTGTAACAGAGAATGAAAGACTCTGAGAAACCACTGAATGACAACAAATGTCCGATGAGGCCTTTGCAGGCAAACAGTGGTCACTGTGGTATTGTTGTGTACACAACCAGAGCAGTACAGGCTGTGCTGCATGTGTGATCTTTAACATCAGCAAGTTCAGGCCTTAACTCTCTACAGCTGTACATCTTTTAACATATCTGTAATGTACCTACTGTTGCATGTGCTGTATATACCTGCTACTTTTGTGTTTTTTTCTGAATACCAGGGGCAGATCTAGAGAAATATGGAGTGGCAAAAAGGTGAATACATTAAGGGGTGGCAGAAATAAATGCTGATTTAATTAAAAACAATCACATATATCAACATTTGCTTGGAAAAGCCCCCCAAATTACTATATTTGAACTCAAAAACAGTATTGTGGCACATTAGTAAAGCCTTGAATATAAATATCTAAAGGTAGATTAGAAATCAATAAATTGTTTATTTTTTCATTGAAAAAGAAATTGCCTAAAATGTGGCCATAACAGATCATTAAATTATTATTACTATTTTTAACATGTTATTTTTTTAAATGATCTAAATTAATTTGTTAAATTTGACACCAAAGTGGGGTGGCAGCTGCAGTGGCCAGGCACCACATGCCCAAACTCTAGATCCGCCCTTGCTGCATGCCAATTTCATTTTACATTCATGTACTTTTGGTTATTTTTTGTTTCAGTTTAGAGGAAAACTTATCTATCCAACATACTAGTCGGGCTTTAGTTTATGAAATTAATAATTGTTGTGTTTT